CATTGCACTCCCATAGGATGGCATATTTGTCTGTATGCGAACAGGGACAACGAGTGACACCATTGGATCTGACCGCGTAGGAACAACCAGCTGAGATGTGGATACGGCAACTGAAGAGCTTGCTGTGCATGTTAGTGGATGCAACCTACTGTCTGAGCCATATTCTGTGCAGGGGGAAAGACTGGAGGTTCCTGCCGTTGGGAATAAACTGGATTTGATCTGTGATAAATGTCCACCAGCTTCACCTGGCAGCTGGAGAGCAAACTGAGACTGAAGAGGCAGAAAAAAGGCAGAAGGGATTGGTGAGGAGCCAGGGTAATGCACTGGTAAGAACGAAGGATGCTGCCTGAACGGCACATCGGCGGGGTGAGACATTAACGGAGTGGTAACATGAAGCTGACCTGGGTGAATGAGCGTTTGCTGGAGAGGAAGTGGTGGGGTCTGGAATATAGAGGGAGGAATCTGAGGCATGGTGAATTGAGCAGAGAGGATATCAGACATGGTGTGTGCGGCAAAAAGCTCGGCAGACTGCCCTGGCTGTGGCATTGAGACCTGCGGGGACATGTACTGCTTTTCATGCAGCGTTAGCTGTGGTACAGGATGATGAAAGATCTGCAGAGCTTCTGTGTAGGGCTCTGTATACGCAGGCTGAGCGCTGTCTTCGGGCTGACTCTTATCTGCTGGGTAAGTACTGTGAGAGGGCAACGAGGATGAAGATGTTGGCTGATGGGGCAAGCTTGTAGCAGGAGATTTACTTGAAGAAGAAGGAATTGGGTCTTCCGTCTCTTGCCGACCTTTTGGGGACAAGTCTGGGTCATACTCTGGATGCCTAGTGAGAGATGCTTGCCTAACCAGAAAGCATTTTCTTCTCTCCTGTGGAGCTGAGGATGTTGATGGACCAGGCGTTGAGGAAGGAGTGGATGACAAGCTCCCATAGTCAAATGATTTACTGCGGGTCTCTGACATCTGGGAAGAATGGGACACATTTGGTGTCTGCTCAGAAGCAGATCTTCGCATTTCCCTGGAATGATGGTGGTGGCTTGGTACCATCAACATATGTGAGGCAACACTAAGAGGCTTTGTGTGGGATTCAGAGGGCTGACTGGTTGACTCTGTCTTGCTGTGTTCTTCACGATCGAATGAAACAGAATGGCTGGAGCCATGGGATATGCTGCTTTCCTGACTTGGACTTCTGGTGAGAGAGACTGATTCAAAACTGGACTCTCCAGAGGACTGAGCCATTTCTGCTAGCCGCAGCCTCTTCTTTTTTGGTGGAAGTTTCTCTGCAGGGAGCTGAGAGAGGGTTTGGCTTCTCTGCGGCCACTGAAATTCCTCTGTTTTCTCTGGCTCTTTCGGAGGAGGCTCCAGTTCTGTTTCTGGTCTGTCGGGCTCTTCAGTGACCAGAATCTCTGGAACCTGGATGTTGGGCTGTCGAACCAGCTTGGGCTGCAGGGAATGAGGAGGCCGGCTGTGCTGCGTTGTTGGCTGAGATGAGTACTGTGACAAGGGCTTCTCTTCTCCCTCCACACTGCTCACCTGTTCCGTAGAGTCAGACTTCTCAAAGGAACTCGTATGCTGGATGACAGAGATCTCCTTTGAAGTTGTTCTTCTCTCTTTGCTCTCTGTACTCGAAGCCAGTTTGGTATTCCTGGAATGAAAGCTGGAGCTAACATCAGAAGATGTGGATTTACCCGGATCTGCTGGTGACTTAAGGGATTCACAGGTTAAGTTTAAAGCAACATCAGATGATCCTGGGTTTGCAAACTGAGTCCCTGGTCCAGTACTGGAGGAGGGAGTGTCAGACAGTTCAAAAGCAGGAGGGTCTTCGTCATCACCAAGACTCTTTTCTTTTCGCCTTTTTCGTAGCGGTGTAAGCTCCAAACTGCTTCCTAGTTTGTAATGCATCATCTGGGGCCATGTCTCAGGCTCCCCAGCACTTTTCTCAGTCTCTGAAGAGGTATGGGAACTGGAAGAACGAGGCTTTGAGAGCTGCAGTTCTGAACAGTAATATTTCTTATGGGCTTCATAATTATCCCTTTTCTTATACCGAGCACCACATACGTTACACTCGTACATGAACCCTTTAACTTTCAGACCCTTCCGAGATTTTTTGGTAAGATCGCTTTCCTTGGTTTCAGGCTCCTCGGGAGGCTTGGAAACAGTTTCTTTGCTCACAGAGCTAACCTCCTCTGAAACATATTCTACTCCCAAAGGTAGCTCAATAGCTGGTTGTCGTTTTAGCATTCGAGGATGGGAAGAAAACACTTGACTGCGGCTTAAGACTTCAGGCTCCATGATGTGATCATCAAATGAATAGCTACCTCTAAAGGTATGTGGGGAGCTTATAGTGCATGCAGCAGAAGGCATTGAGTGGCTTCTTAGGAGAGGCACTGTCTCTGTGGCACTGTGGGATTGCTGAAGTGGCAACAATGATTGTTCGGGCTTAATTTTTTCACCGTGTGATGTCAACACTTTTGATGCTTCCAACTGGCTACTGGAACCAGTCTTGATGTCAAACTGAAATGGTTCCCTATATAGACCAGACTTTGGAGATTCGATGCTGCTACGTCTAGATAAAGAGCTTCTTCTAGGCTTAACGCTATCTATTTCACTGGTATCTACAACAGCTTCATTAATTGTAATTAGCTTAGTGATGTGTTCAATAACCTGTGTTCTAGGCACAGATAAAGGTACTATACTAGGTTTCTCTTCAGTAGACCGGTGCGAAACCCCCTGGGTTGTGTTTGTACCTAACATTGCAGTCCTTTGCCCAATTCTACCACATTTCCCAAAAATAATTTCTGCATAAGATTTTGCATTAGTATTTGGTGGGCTGATCTGCTGCTCTGCACTTTCTGATCTCGAGAAGTAGCCTGACTCGGTACTCCCTTTGCTCCCAGGGCTCAGGAAAGCTTGTTCGTCAATGACCTTCTTGCGTTCACTTAAGCGGAGTGCAAGCTTCTGTTTTATAGTATGAGTGTCTTCAGATTTATGGCTCAGAGCATGGTCTGATGATGGCTCCGCAAACTGGGTGCTGTCCTCAAGAGACTGGGACATACTGGAATGAGATAATGAACACCGGTCATGGCTGGAGCCTTGGCTTCCTGCACTCAACAAGCTACTGGATAACAGGCTGTGCTTTTGCCTGGGTGAGAGCTCTACTGAATGGCCTGACATTGCACCCGTTTCCTCCTCTGAATCTGTGCTTTCTCCTTCTGTTGGCTCTTCAAAGTCCTCCCCACCAATCCTTTCCATTTCCAAGCTAGACGGATACATCTCCGCTCCGATTCCTGAGGCCAGCCCAGCTTTTATTCTATGAGCATGAGATTTCCTATGCTTGTACAAATTGCTCTTAGTCTTAAAAGAAAAGCCACATGGAATGCAAGGGTATGGCCTCTCACCCGTGTGTGATCTGATATGTTTTTGGAGCACACTTGGCTTTGCACAAGGCCTGCTGCAGTACTGGCAAATATATTTGCCTGGCTTCTGAGGTTTCTTTTCCTTCTTGTGCACTTCCTCAGCTTGCTTTAAGGAAACCTGTGAAGGGCGAGGAATATAGACCTTTTGAACGGACGACATGTCCTCTCCAGGAATGATTGGTGAATGGGAAGGTAAGAGTTGGCTGTGATGAGAATGAAGCCCGGGTGACGAAAAGGAGCCAGAGGGACCTGGTCTTACTGGATCAACTAGCTGCCATGTGGGCCCTTCGAGGACGTGCTCTGGTTTCCCAGGAGACATAAATGCTGGTGACAGTGTATGTTGCTGAAGCTGTGAAATGTGGGGTGGATGTTCGAAAGAGGAAGGTTTCGGTTGCTTCTGATGTCCAGTATTCTCCTGAGATTCCTCTCTTGGAATCGGCAAAGAGCCAGAAAAGTGCTGCTGCGATATGATATCTCGGAGAGGGGGTCCTTGTGGAGAAGCGGAGCTGCCCTGATACGTAGCTGCAGATGAAATACTGGCTTGGAAAGCCTCTCCTTTGGGAAGCCTCTTTCTTGGACTTTCCTCAGCCTTTTTTGTGCTCTTCTGGCTTTGTTCAGGATCCATGACCTTAAAAGGGTCTTTGAATGCTATTTTGGGAAGGTTTTGGCAGGCTTCATTTACGAATAATAAAGGTCTCTTCTGTAGATTCCCTGTTCTGCCTGCATTTGCTACGAAGCTGGAGCCACCAGGGGATGCTTGTTGATTTAAGATTTTAGTAAAGTGTCACTAGCTGCTATTTGATTCAAAAAAAAAAAAAAGTTTCAAGGTCAGTAAAGTTCACATTGGTAACACATGACAAACTACTTCAAAGAGAGAAAACTTTCCAAAACTTTTAGTCCAAATATTTTCCTTGTGAACTTGGTTAAGGCTTTAAACCTTGCCATTTTATTTCAGTTGACAGTGGCAAGCCTTCAAAGTCAAGATGCAACCCACAATGTGTCTCTTGTTTGTTATGCAAACCTTTGAAAGCTTGAAACGTTAGTGCTCATCTCATAATGATTTTTTTTCCCCGTGCAAGGAAAATAACACTGAACGGTGTATGTCTCCCTGTGTCTTCCTTCTGTTCCACTTTTGAGTTCAAAGGCCTTGGAGAAGTATTTCCCACATTTCTGCAATTACATCAACCAAGGGTAAAACAAACATAAATTGTACGAAGTGAAACCTCAGAGACTTAAACTGAGTTTAACATACACCTATCCCGATGTTCTAAGAGTATCTAAAGACAGGAACTTGAAACACAATTTTTAAAACTGTATTAAAATGGTTTCTAGCTTGAATTCTTTCTAATATTCTGTAAATATCTATGGTTTTACAATTTTTATAATTTTTATAAGTCTGTCCAAACAGACTACACAGTAGAGCTGACTATATACAAAGCACTGCTTAATACAACACATACATTCACTGACAAAAAAAGAACAAATATTTTCTGTGTAAAATCTTTTCTTAAGCTTACAGTATCTTTTGTGTCATTTTCAACAACAGCAAGTCAAGAAAAGGCAAACTCTTTTACGGAAACTTCGCCTCTTTAATTTCCTGCCTTTTGCTAATGAACAACGATGCAAGTCTAACTTCTATAGCATGCACTATATGCGGAATGTCAAAATCAACTCACTACCAAGGGGAATCCTTCCTACAATGAATATGAACAGGATGCTCTACTAAACTCACTATACTTGTCAACACATAAAGCTATTAACAAGGCAGTTGGGGAAGCATACTCTGATTTCACTGAAAAGAAAAAAAGACATCACCAAGAGACAGAATAGAAAATGGATGGAGATGAAGACATGCAAGGATGGTGCTTTTTAAGTATATTGGTCTATATAATTTGCAGTGATGTAGAAAGTATAGAAGTGTATTCCTCTCTTGTGAAGCTATTATCTGCTTTAGGATGTAGGACATTGCTATAACAGAATTTCATTGGCTCTACTGTGGGAATTTAGTCCTACTGCTACATTCTCCCTTTAGTTTATTTTAGAAGAATGTAAATATACAGTACCATCCTGGAATACATCTGAAGCAGCACAAATGCACAAAAGAGGTTTAAAAGTTGTCTATTCTTGGGATAGGATTCATTCTACCAAACTTTAGACATTCAAAAGTCAAGGTTAAAGCATATGGACATACCTCTACATCATCACTGAGAAAGGCAGGTCCCATTAAGGGCAAGACATCCCATATTAAGGTCTCAGCTCAGTGGGATCAACCACCCTGAGATATCACCTTTTACTGATTAGAATAACGACTTGCATGGACAGCTGTGACACCCACATCACGTGTAAATGCACAGAAGATCAGTCCTATCCTACAGTTTTCCTTCTTTTTCCCCAAATGTGAGTTCTGCTCCCTTCCAAGCATGAGCTTCGCACCTTCTGTATCAGTGTCATATCCAGGGCTCGGTATTGGGTAATTATCTATCTATATTATCTTCTCTATATCAAAAAATTACTAAGGATTAAACATAGTTGTGGAGCTGATCTATCACGTTGTTTTTTTTACCTAAGAATGGTGTTCTTTGCCCCATTTATGATGCACAGAGCACATTAGTGCAGTAGAAGTGGATTTAAGCAGAGACTTTCAGCTAGTGCAAAGTGAACACCGCCTCCCACCAGCTCAAACACTCACATTTAAGAACTGCCAACAAAGGAATGCCTGAAAAATATGTTAATACTCTGTTTTCTCCTATGGTTTCCATATCCACTCCTAAGTGTATAATAATTAGGGTTGCAAGGAAGCTTTCTGAAATGATTCAGTACCATTCCAAATGTTCAGACTAACATCCTCCTCCTCTGATGAGCACATGGGCCCCAGCTGATTTTGCTAGGAATTCTGCACAAAAATTAACATTTAAAGAACCGATTCAACAATCACACCTGCCTACAGCAGTGAACATGGCCATTCTGGGACAACTCAGCCTATTTTCTATGTGTTTCTTTCACTACTGGAAACAGCCCCTGGAATGGGAATGGCAATAAATAATTCTTCTAGCCCAACACCATTGCTACGGATTTATGGGTCTCCGAGGAAAATTCAACAGTGAAAAATAAAGAAGCAGAAAGAAAAAAGTCCCTTCTTCCTCATTTTCTTCTCAATTTTTACTCTGTTCCCCACCCCAATACCCCCAGTTAAACTCTGTCTCCAGACATTAGCCTTTTTATTTTCATCCAACCTTCCTCATTTCTCTTATTTCTGCTTAGAAGAGCAATGTCTTTCACTTTTACTTTTGCCTTGGCCGTCTGCAGTTCCCTGTGTCGTGTGTGTTTTGCCTCTACTGCTTTTGTTTATCAGTGCCAACCCTCAGTTATCATCTATTCTGCACTGGGTTCTCCAGAATGACACACACAACAGTCGCTACTACTGCACTGCACCGCAGCCAAACAGTGCATGGCACAGTGCAGCTTCCTCAGATCTTAGAAATAAATAAATAAAATGAAATATAATAATCAGATGGATTTTATGGCATATGGATTCCCTTAACTAATACTCTCTGTGACCAAATCCAAAATATAGGCACTAAAAAAAGGAATTCTAGCTATTATTTCTATTTGAACATCATGTTTTAGGGTTTTACTTGAAATGCCATGGAACAAACATGAATAGAAAACGTCTGCTTCGTTTGCAATGACAGAAACAACAACTGCCACCCTAGTGAATTAAATCAGTGTCAAAATTCTCTCTGCTTTCAGTGCAAGCAGAATTTTACCCTAAAGTCTAAGATAAAATGCTTAGGAATGTTCTTTCAGACAGCCTGGTTGATAATTTGGCATTCCCTTGTTCTGGATGAAATCAATTCCTGTGAAGAGGCTCAGGTGCCCAGGTGCACAGTCTCTCCAACTCCTACACCTCAAAGTTCTCCAGAAAGGTTTAAAGAAGATATAACAAGTGTCAGGCTTTTGGTTGACCCCTGCATGACTGGTGCTATCACCACACAAATGTAGCCATGCATCCAAAAAAAACTTTGCCAGCTGATTTGGAATTGAGATACCCCCGTCAGCCAGGGTAGAAATGTTGTAGACTGCACCCACATCCTCCCCTCAGCTCCAGGTGGGAACTGAGAGGACATTTAAAGGAATTGGGCCTTTGTCTAAATTATGGTTGGGCTTCAAAGTTCATTCCTTCTAAGTGACACGTGGAAAACTGCAATCCTTGGTATTATATCACTTGCCTCTGTTTCCACTACACTGAAACATCCAATTACGGTGGTTCCTTAAAACCCTCTTGGTGGCAAAATGCTGCTGTTAGCAGTGCTCAAACAGATGTCAGGATTTTCTCTTCTGTTAGGCTGTATTTTGATTCAGTCAAGATCCACAGTGATTGCGTGAAGCTATTCCAACAGAAACCCTCCTTTTTCTATGCTATTCCAACCAAAACATACAGCATTTTCTCCTATACACTGAATTTCAGCCTCTTTTTAAGGATGCCAGCTTTACATGAGATGATCTTGTGTGCTACACACAAAATCTGCCTGCTTGTTCCCTGTCATGGTCCTATGCCATTTGGTCAGCTTCAGCCCTATTTGACCAACAGCAAGATTTGTTAAACATTTTTAGAATCCTACAAGTTTTGTGATATTGAGATCTACATTTAACATTCACCCCTTTTAGATTACAGGAGCACCAATCTGGAGACTCCCTTTATTCAGCTGTTCATGAAGCTACTTGATTTTTAGGAAACTGCAGGGTAATGTCTTTGGAAAGCGGATCGGGCTATGAGCAAAGCACATGATGACAAGGTCATCTTCTACCTGAATGTCACGTTCTTCACAACTAGATACTGGTCATGGCTTTGAATGATACAGCAGATACCACCTTTGACTTTAAAAGTGATGTATGGCACAGGGATTTATCATGCAAACAGTGAGCAGCACAGAGATCTTGTGTCATTACCTCTGAGACGAGACTCAACACTATAAAATGCTGCTGCTGCTGCAGTGCTGGTAGGACTTGCCAGGGAAATGTTCCTCAAACATAGCTAAGAAGAAGCAAAATAACCAGACAAACAGAAAGGCAAGACCCATTCCTAGGTACAGCCCGTTGCAAAGAGCATCAAGGGAACTGGCTATGGGGAAACAGAGATTACTTACAGTGGACTTGATATCCTGCGATTCTGACAGCACGTCTCTTCGGTTCGCCCAGGATTTAATTCAGTCTGCAAAAGAAACAGCATGTTGGGATCATATATTAAAATGCCACCTCAGGCACAAGCACAGAGGACTTGCATCAGGTGCTCTGATGGAGAGGATTGCTTGGTAACCAAACAGTACACAAACTGAGTCCCAACAGCTGGAGAAGCCCTCGGCGACTGCATTAACCTCCTTCGGCAAGGTTGCTGTGACGGTGACAGGCAGCTCCCAGAAAATGCAACACCGTGGGGTTGTCCTCCCTTGAGGACGCTGCAAGGGAAATCGCAGCCTTGCTGTGCTCTGAGCAGACGTGACACAAGAGGAGGCGACAGCTCCATGCTCAGATATGGATTTCAGCTCTGCTCAGGCATTGACTATATGGAGCAGCCCACAGATGCTACAGCTTTCCCTCTAAAATGGGCATTTAGTCCTGAGTTTTGGAGACAGAAACAGAACGAACCAGCCCTCTCTCATTCCAGCATGATCACGGTGTTTCTGGACAACTGGAAGAACGACAGGTATTAACACATTTAGCTTACTGAGGCCACCTTCAGTAAGCACACAGCTTCCATTTCACAGAAACCCCGGTCAATAACTTCAAAAGTGGCTTCAGGTCCCTCAGGATTAAAGCCAAATCTGTGAGAACTTCAAGGGCTGTTCAGAGGCAGCAACTCCTTCCACAACCACTGGCTGCAAAATACTCTCTGCCTTTAGGGGCTGTGTTGCCCTAGACCAGATATTCCCGATGTTTTAGATGAGCTGCACTCCTGCCATCTCTTCCTCCTCCCTGCCTTCATCCCAAGTTTGTTGCCTCCTTGGGTTTTTTTGATCACTGCATCCATCTCTGTGGATTGTTCCTCAGTTATTCCCCTGCTAGGACAGTTCTGACCATGATCTCCAGACCGCCACCTCCCATCCTCTTCCTCCCCATGATAATGCAGCGCAGCTGTGTTCATACCCCCATCCCAGTGTCGCAACCCTCATTCTGTGGAGATGGAGTTGGAGCAGGGAGCCCCAGCAGCAGGGGCTGCACGTCCCGTTTGGCAGCAACGTGTCACATCGCCACCCAGGTCCCTAGACCACAGCAACCCTTGGACCCTTGCCAGTCCATCCCAAGAGACTCGTGCACATCTGCACACCAACACCAATCCTATCCAGGCAGATGGGGACATACAAACACCCAAACGAGAATTATTTCGGAGCTAAGGATTCAGGCAAGCAGCAGCTTCTCACCACAGCAAGCCCAATCACAGCCATGAGGAAAAGGCTGGTTTTCCATCCTGAGCTTTGCAATCTCGTTTTCTATCCCAACTCTCAGATGTTGTAGACTTGGGAGGAGGGAGCAGGGGGTGGATGGTACTGCAGTGCCTGAAAGCATCTTAGGCAAGCAGCAGCTTCTCACCACAGCATGCCCAATCACTGCCATGAGGAGAAGGCTGGTTCTCCACCCTAAGCTTTGCTTTTCTATCCCAACTCTCAGACATTGTAGGCTTGGGAGGAGGAAGCAGCGGGTGCCTGAAAGCATCTCAAACCCTGGGACCAAAGTTTAAATAAACTCAGTGAAGTGTCAAACTCCATTTTTGCAGCCACCGCAAAGCCTGGTTCAACAAGTACTCATGTGGCTGGGAGAGGGTTGGAATTTCACTTCCCTCAGGACCTCTACCAGATCTCAGACCATCTTGTGATCTTGCTCGTATCTAGTATCAAGTGGTGCCTCCACCCTGCATTATGAAAACAAGAGCCATGATGGAAGAGGTGCCCTCCGCACCACACAGCAGTGTTGCACTTAGCCACATGATGAAACAGAAGACTTGAGCCTTCAGGGACCTGCAGCCCACACCCCAGTTAGTGTGCCAGCCCTCATCATGTGGCATATTTCTTCTTTGTGGTTGGGACCGAACCATTCTACAGCCAGGAACTTGAGGGACATGAGTCAAAGACAGAGAAACAAATGAGATGTTGTCTCTGTAGCTCTGTGCAATGGTGGAGAGAGGAGGAAGCCCAAGTCCTGCTTTCAGCCCCGCAGTCAGAGCTGCCCTCTGCAGCTGAGGATCCAGTAGCTGGACAGACATTGCTGAACACCAAGAGACCCCAAAGCTACACAGGCATACGGTGCTTGAACCTGGTACCAGAGGTTTGGATTCAGAATCAGCTATACCCACAGTATATTTATCATCAAGTCCTGACAATGTGCTCAGTGCAGACTATCACAGAAGAGCATCTTGCTAATTATCTCAATGAGCATCTTAGAAGCTTGGTAAGGGTGCGTGGACAAGGCTACAAAGGGAACAGTAGGCACAGCGTGGGTTAATGCTGGTAGCCTCTGCAGAAGCTCCTGGCAACCCCTGTCCATCTTTTAGGCCATGCAGCTTCCTCATGTCCATGGTGCCAGCTGTGGACAGAGTCCTCAGGCCACTCCATGTTCTTCTGATGTTTAAACAGGGAAGACATTTCCCAAACCACTGCCAGCAATGACACCATGAGATTATGAGACAGCAGGTTTCCAGGCTGGATGGGATAAGAAGCTCCAGGGTTTAAATCCTCCTCCATGCTTTTCCCATGGGATGTGCACAAGCAGTGCTTCTTTCCCCCTTCCAGCATCTGCTCTTGTGGGACAAGGAAGGACTCTCTGCTCTCCACTACTCGCTGCCAATGGAAGGTCAAGTCCTTCCTCTGCCCCTGCCCAGCTGGCGGGGGTACACACCTCACCCCGAGGTCTGCAGCGATGCTGAAGATGCAGCGGATGGAAGAAGCTCCAGCAGGCAAGGAAGATGCTCTCCTTCACTCACGGCAACGCTTGCATTCGGAGATCGCTTCGTGCTTTGGCCACGAGCACCCATACGAAGCCAGGAGATAGCCAGGGATGCTCGTCTGCATCCTCATGCTCCCTCCCCTCTGGCCGTGCTTGTGGATAGCCCACAGGCCTCCCACATCCTACTGAGCACGGCCATGCGCTGTGCAGTCCTTCGTGAGGAGGAGCAGGCCGAGCGCTCCAGGCATGGCAGCTCGGGCCAGGCAGGCTAGCGGGGAGCTGCAGCGCGTGGCCATGAAGACACCAGGATTTGGCCACTGACAGAACTAGAGGTAATGGCCACAAACTGAAGCATCAAAAGTTCCACAGGAACTTAAGGAAAAATTTCTTAACAGTGAGGGTGACAGAGCGCTGGAACAGGCTGCCTAGAGAGGTTGTGGAGTCTCCTTCTCTGGAGATCTTCAAA